ATAGGAAAAATAAAGAGGTTGAAACTTGATGTAAAATTTTTTTTTTGATATACTATCGTCTGACGTATTGGGTATTTCATTTCGCTCAAGGGCATTTTTGACTACCTTATTCGGCAAGACCCTTTTACATCGTTTTAAGGAAATAGAATGGAAAATTATAGTCACGTAATACAAGAATTGTTTTCAGCATTTCTGTTATTTCTTTATATATTTGACACTGAGCAAATATTTCATAGACTATTTGCTATAGACTATAACAAAGAGTTAACTGAATTTGGGATTAATAAAACAACAAGTGCAAAGTGAGAGTATGATATAATATACTAAAATGATGTATTTCATAATTTTCACATTAGTACTTTATATTCTTGAATTTGTTTGTTTTATTAATTTTTGAAATTTTATGCATTACAATTATATTATTATTAAAATTGAAAACGGAGACCGTTTAGTTTCTTTGATCATTATAATGATTTTCTTCTATTTATTTACATCTGGCCTCGCTAGATTTTTGTTTAATACTATTGCCATGAGTTTTTCTATTTGTTGCAAGTAGAGTGATTACTTATTTTTACAATAAAGTACAACAATATCAAATATGCTTATCAAATAATTTTAATAAACGTTTATGTGTATATATTTTAATAAATTTAATAGTTGTTTTGGTGTATTTATTTAAAGAAACATCAATTTAAGCTTGTGATACAAATATATTATTGAAATAATAATAATTTTGAGTATTAATAAAATATGGCTGTCAAATGAAGTTACATAATTAATTTTTTTTACCTAGAAAATAATAAATTTTATATATTTTAATTGTTAGTATATTAGTTTTTTCGATGTATTATTAGATATGGGCGGTTTATTTTTAATAAAGACAAGAACTAAACAGAAGCAAAATAAGGGTGCCAAATATTTCAAAGGAATTGTAACAGTTACTGAGAATTATAGATGTTTATATTTGGCATTTGTGTGAATTTTATGTAATAATAAAATAGATACATTAATAAATATTTAATTTCATATCCAAACATATATAAATGTACATAGACTCAAAGCCCAGATCAACTTTAAAAAATAATTTTGCATTTACTCAATGTAAAAAATGTATTTTAGATTTTTCTTGGTAAATTAATTTTAAGAAATAATCGAATATAATTATTATTTTTCCAATTAAGAAGATTACAATTATTACAGAATATTACAGAATATTACAGAATGTTGAAAATGTAAGAATAATAAGGTTGAATATATAATTATTGTAAAAGGAAAATTATTGACACGATTAATTAAATATATTAGTAAATATTAGTATCATAGTTGTTATTATTAGCTATTTAATTTTCAAGATTACAACAATTCTTCGAAATCCTTCAATACATTAGTTAAAACATAACTAAAAGTTATAATTTTTAATTTGAAATAATTTGAAATCAGTACATTTGCTGAAAAATGGCTAAAGATACTAACAAAATCAATAAGAATGATAATTTTACATTTTTGTAAAGAAATATATTTTTTATATCGCAGAATTCCAATAGTGCAGCGAACAAATTGAAAGTTAATAATAAGTAAGAAGAACAAATCATTGAAGCTTAACAGTAACAAGAAGAAATGGTTCGACAAAGAAAAAATTTCATTACTGTCGAAAGTAACAATAATATTGCAACTTTTCTTTATAATTACTTTCTCAATTGGAACGGTATGTTCCAAAAGCGTACGAATAATATTAGAATCGATTTAGAAAGATGCTGCAGTATAGTCAAATGACCAGGCCTGGTCATACACGAGAGATTAGTCGTGTGTAAACATAAGAATCTCGTCATTCATATTAATACACACACCTGGGGCCAAGTTTCTCGGTACGAATGTCTTACTACTCGTCGGATCGCCTCGGCTCGGCATCGTTTTACGCAGTTTCGCAGACGACACGGCTCCCGATGCGCGCGTATCGGGAATTTAACCTTAAATCGTCAACACGAGAAACTATTACCCGAGAAAATCGATCACCCTTCGAATACACGTTTATTTCGATTTGTGTCTATATGAAGACGCGAACCACGTACGACCTGAGGCAAGCTTGGAAGAAAGCTCGTGCAAAACCCTACTCCGGTATTTTCAGCCGTTTCTAGAACGTTTACGATGCTTGCAATTATATAATTTTTCCATTAATATATCATTTTCGAACGGCTTACTCGTATTTTCATTTTTTTCATCCTGTACGTTTCATGCTTCTAATGAAATATGATCGGTATTGCACATTGTGTAGGACGGCCATTAATTTTCACGGTGAATTCGGTACAAACATAAAAATTCCTAATAAATATCTTTCGACCAATATTTATGTGTAGCCATTTAGTGTAGCTGGAGAAAAATGCTAATATAAATTTGTGACCAGCGTTACAAATCATTATTAAGAGTTATTGAGAATAATATTGTAATATTAAAAATAATTATTACCTAAATTGTAAGTGATAATGGAATGATTCCTTTAATTGAAAATTGTAGTTCAATTTATAATCTGACCTTTAAGCATTCATCTTAATCGATGATATTTGCATTCAACCGTTAAATTCCAATCGTTAACTGAAACTTCTTTTAAGTAACAATAAAAATTTAATTGGTAACTCGATCGTTTCTAATCCTAGATTAAAATTTATCCTTTAATCGAATCTCGTATAAGTGAAAATTAAGCTTAAACTTTTACTACAATTTCTTTAATTTGATATTTAATTTCTAATTAAAATTTCTGCTAATAATTAACATTTTTTATAGTAATAAAACTTATTTGTATTATCATACAGGATGTATAGAGTTAATTTATCTAAATTCAATGAATAAAATGGCACCTGTATATAATATTAATATATTATTGCTGCTAATGATGGTTCTATAATGGTTCATGGTTCTACATATAATGGAAACATGTTAATACTAAAAAGGCACCAATAAGGAAAATAGGGAAGTGTGAAGTATTGTCAGCAATAATAATAGAAATGATAATTGTCGTATAAAATTTCGTTTTAATTAAAAATTAAGATTGAATTTAAAATTAAGAAATTACTGTTTAATTTTCAATTAAGAGTATTATAATAAATTTTAATTACCAGATTGAAGGGATTATATCAGACGATAAATATGTCTTTTTAATAATTGTAGTGATCAATACATATGTATATGTATATATACAATATTATCAGTATTTTTATATTGTCAATAAATATTGACCCAAAATTTCCAAATTTCGAAATCATCAAGTTTCCAAATTTCCAGATTTTTAAAATCCCAAATTCCTAAATTTTTAAATTCTTAAATTCGCAAATTATAAATTACAGAAACCCTAAATTTGGAGTTAATATATATAGTCAAAAAATATTGAGAACCTTGAAATATCAATTATGTCTTATGTTGATATTAATAAATAATTAATATAACATTTTGGGCAGATGCAAAAAAGGATAAACAGAATTAAAATAAAAATAACGAAATTCTATTTCTTAATTATAATTCTTACAAAGTTTTAAAACTATAAATTATATAAATGATTTTTTTAATATTTTGGACATGAAATTTAATCATTAGTTTTCTAAAAACCAATAAGTGTATTATTTAACAAATTAATCAACATAACTTGAAATATTTTTATTAGTACAGATGCTTCAAAATCAGTACGATACTAATAAAATCTGTACAGTACTAGTAAAATCAGTATGAAAGGTCACCAAATATTGTGTAAATTATGAACTTTGATTTAGTACATACCCTCTATCATCTACAACTTCAAAAACAATGCAAACATTTCGAAAATCTTGCACATTCCTGATGCTTTTATTCAGAAAAATATGCTCGAGTCTTTGAGATGTCATTTTAATTTTCAGTTATTGTTAATTAAACTTCTCGATGGACGAAATGTATTTCCAGAATTAGAAGTAAAATGATAAAAGTAATGGCGTGTTTATTCAATCAGACATGTGAATTAATGAATGTCGTAATATTATTTTATTTGCGAGTACTAATTTGTATTTCAATGTTATTTTTTTGGATATTAAAGTTAAACATTCGCGAAGCTTTATCTTTTTTGTATCGTTTAATCTTATCGTTGTTGTGATATTCGGTATCATTACTATTGATATAATAAAGTCAAGCATTTCCTTCATTTTCATGCGATAAGATATTCGATATTGGATGTGCACTATATTTATAAATGTATTTTCAATAACGCAAATAATTAATTATCGATTAATTTTAACAATTCATGTTTTCATTGAAAAATATTAAAGTCACTATCAAGCTTACAATATTTCCTTATTTTCTTACTCTAATGCCAGAACTATCGACATTTGACTCGCACTAATTAAATTAAAAATAAATAAATCAAAGGTCCATACACAATTATTGAATAATGGAAATAAATAAGTTTGTAAGTATGAAAATTAAAAAGACGTTTTTTATGCGCCAGAAGATCAAAAAGTATTCGTAAAAAGTATTAATAACTGTAGTTATACTTTCATCTATATTTATTGCCTTCATATAAATACCCTTGTGCATAAAAAAACGTAGTCTTTTAAAAAATGATCTATAGTCCTCTTTATTTTTTCTACTTCAGTTATTCTTTACGCTTATTTCAATTATTTTTCAATTTTACGAATGTTAATATAGGTATATTTTCACAAGAACAAATTTAGTTGTGTAGATAACTTAAAAAATTCGTAGACAATTTAAAATAAGACAGCCGAGGTAAATCATTTCGCTCTTCTTGTTAGTTCTATCGTTTCTTTTGAAACGAAGAAGAATACAGTGAATTAAGTTTGTAGTTTATTTGATGCAAATTGCTTGAAAAAAGTTGAACTGATCGAAGTCTGAATCATTTAAAAGAAAATACAAGTGATGACTGTTGAAGCAGTTCTCAAAAGAAAGGTGGAGGGTCAAACGCGGGGGAAGGACCGGCTAAGGTATGCGAAAGGTGACTAATCATCGTCCTTGAACTCTTGTTGCAGCTTCGACGCAGGTGGTACTGATGGTGCAACAGAAGTCAGTTGCAACAAGTAGTGCGGTGACGACGGCCACAGGACTACAGGTTGGCGTGACGGGTGGACAACATCAACGACCAGTCAGTTTATCAGCCGGCACAACGATGGTTTCACCCTCGCAACCAGCAACTTCGTTACATAGGGCATCGACTGCTCCAGCAGCCGGTGCACAATGTAATGCACGTATTACTGGACCTCAACCTGTTGATGTAAGTTCAAAATTAGCCAAGAACAATTAACCCCTTGTCATACGAGTTACTTGTCAGACACGTCAGTCAGCTTACCTATAATGGATCCTAAAATGGATCCATTGCAATGATATTAAAACACATAAAGGAAGTTAAAGTGTTAAGTGTCAATTTTGTACTCAGCATCCCTTACTATGCAAATTATGATTGGACTTAAACTTCAAATTGAAATGTAATAACAAATTCGAGTTTTAAATGTTGCATGAGTCTAATTCGTTCAAGTATGGCTAGGGGTTAATTTTTATTTGAAAAACAAAATTGCTTATTTCATGTCTAAACCTAGTTTAGACTTCTACAATAGTGTGCAGTAGAGTTTTATGTTTATGGATTGAAGTTACTTTCGAATACGAATTTTTATAAAACTTTTTATAAATCAGCATGCTTGAATGCGTTATTTTCCTGAATCCTAGGGTACAACCATTTTTTAATTTCACACTTTCGAAGTTCTGGAATTCTAAGTCCTGACATTTCAAAGTTTCAAAGTTTTAGGGTTCCATAGTTGCAAAGTTAAAAAATTCTACTGTCTCATAGTTTAAGAATTAAAAAATATTTAAATTCTAAAGTTCGAAAATTCTAGGGCTTTATAATTTTAAAGTCCCAAAATCTGTAAGTTCCAATATCCCAAAATTACAACTTTAAAGTCACAAAAGCTAAACATTTTCAGATTCCAAAGTTTCAAAGTTTCACAATTCCATAATTCCAAGGTTTCAAAATTCTAAAGTCGTAAGAGCCTGAAAAGCTCAGCGCTTCTAAGTCATAATGACACACAATTTGAAAATTCCAAGGTCCCGAAAGCCTACAATTAAAAGATAAAAAAATCAATTTTAACATGTAGTAGATCTTCCAAAGTATTGGTTTAATCTTGGTATAGGATATATTAGATATACTAACAGGATATTTGATAATAAAATTTACATTAAGAAAATCATAAGTTTCTTATACTGTTGAGTCATTAAGATGCATTAAAAATGCATTAAGTATGCTGATTATCTATGTTAGCTCTTTTTTTTACATTTATTCAACTTATCTCTTAGTTTGATATATGAGGTAGTTAGCAAACATCTTGATATAGGAAACTGTTAGGTTATGAATAATATTTTTTATATTTTTAATTAGAAATGTTTACATATAAGACGATTTAAATATTCAATAAATGGGCTTGATTTTATAATATGATTAACTTCTGATGAAGATGTACCCCTTGATGATGTACGCGAATAAAATTTTGTACATGTATTGTAAAACAAATTACATTGGTATGTAATAATTATTTTCCATTTTGGTATATATATTTTATTTTTCTTTCTTTTCTAATGGATAATAAAGATCATGAAATATGGATAGATTGACAGTTGAAATTATCTTATGCATTTTGATATGTTTTAGTTTGAGAAAAAGCGGCAGCTGGAAACTCAGCGTGTTCATACATTCCAGCTTATGTTGGAGAAGGAACAAAGTTATGTTGATAAGCTTCGTAGCGACCTAGCAAAGGCTAGTACTAGCAGTGGTAATGTTAATATCGTAGCATTACAAGCAGAACTGGCAGGTGCAGAAAGGAGGGTACGCACCCTACAGGAACAACTAGCTGCAATAACAACCAATGAACAGGTCTGGTTTTTTCCCTTGTAATGTGCTTTAATGAAATGCTGAAATTATTTTAAGGTTTCTGTTTATTGCACTAATGTACTGCATCAATCAATTTTATACCTGTAAACTAGTTATTTGTATAAGGGATGTTTCATAAACTGGGATGGAGTATATCTTTGATGATGTTTAAAATATGAAATCGCATAAAATTAATCATATTTACAAATGTAATAAGTGTAAAATCATTTAACTGCTTTTAAATTGTTTTTTTCATGTTCCAAGTTATTATAATGATATAACCCATTTCAGTTACATGGAATGTCTTGTATATTATATCATAAATGTCACGTTATTATACATAATTGTATTCATAGAAATGTGAAATCGTTTTAACGCTTAATTCATTAACATTTCTTATATCCCTATATATTTTTTGTGCCTGGCTTTAATATCAGTGTTTGTCAGTACTAGCCTATGCTGTTCAATGTATTAAATAGTTGCTCGGCATGATATTAAGATGTATATTTTTATTGATAGAAAGCATATGATCAATATTTGGACATTATTTTTTTTATCATTGATTGTGTAGCAGTTCAATAATTTGATACGTCTTTTATTGTATACCATAGTACATAATGAGAAAATATGACAAGACTTACATTGGATTTTCATGCGTGTCCATTTTTTGAGCTATACAGGTATAAGTTTTGCGTAAAGTATATATGCATTACAGTTGAAATTTTCAAATTCAGTCATATAGGGATGTATTCAAGCTTCTGCTAACTTTATCTAACCAGCTTTTGTTGTGTCTTACAGCTTTGCTCATTGGTAACAAACACCTCATGTTCCCCGGGTTATTATTCACCCTTGAGTGGTAGCAGTGGTGATGTACCACCGCCTCTACCATCTCGTAAATCCTTGTCCATGCAAAGCCTGTCTCCGCCACCATTGCCTCCCAGACCTCCGCCTACTACAAATACGCACAACGTAGCCCAGTTGGAGCTGGAACGTCATCTGTTGACTCATGTAATGCCCTCAACCACCAGTCATGGCATACCTAACTCTGTAAGTAGTCTAGCTGCTAAGTTATTAAATGAATAATTTATATAAAAAATGCATGGTAAAAAGGAAGTATCACATGACAGCACTGTGTATACTTCTGCAATTAACTCATTTTTCTACTGGATAATTCTGTAGTTTTCTATTGTCACGTTTTTAAAGATTTGGATACATGTTTCACTTTACATACTGGATCATCATAATACATAATGACAGTTAAGTACCTGCATTGTGCGAATATATTGTTTACATTTTGTAGTAAGCATCTTTACTTTATATAATACATATACATATCTCAAAAGTTGATGTCAAACATTATTTTATAAAAGATCTGTACTTACTGCCAAAACATTATTACCTGACTAGTATCAAATTCCGTTAAGTAATGTTTCTTCAAATGTGGTTGTAACCAAAATATTATTGAATGTGTTTATGGTTATTCAGTATATTTGTTAATACTTGTTTGATATATAGATATTTTTTAGTCAGTTTTGTGATTGCAGTGTTTATCAGTCATTATATTATACATACATGTACAAAGTTATTGTTAATATGCATATATCTTACTACTCTATTGCATAATGAATTGCACAGACTTAGTTTATATAAATGTTTAATGTATAATTGATAACATTTTGTTCATTATTATGTATTATTTAATGAAGAAATATTCGATTTTTATTATAGCTTTCACAGGGTGCAAATTTGGGTTCTTCAAATTCACTCAATAAGCACCAACGAACAAAATCCAGTCCTGAACAACTGGGAACAACAACCATTTCTCCATCAGAAGCTAGTAGACGTTTAATAGCATCAGAATCAATGAATGATCTTTCTCCTCCAAGGCATGTGAGGCATAGTGACATTGATATAGACGAATTGCCTCATATCACTCCTCCAGGAACTCCACCTCCGCCATATCCAGTTGCAAGTCCAGGGAATGATACTTCTAATTCTACTATAAATGATGTAAGTGTTGGAAATCTAATTACCTCAATTGAGTGTAGGGCATAGTTAATTTCAAGTTTACTTTACAGACAATGCTAAACGAAAGCATTCCTGGATTGCCTACATTGCAACGACCAATCATGTCAATGGAAGATGATGATATGAGTGATCAAGAAGTTGTAAGTTCATAATATGAAGATCACTCTAATTTGGATAAATACTTTATTGAAGATTACTGTAATTTCAGGGCCAGTTAGAAGATCATGGTCCATTTAAATCTTTATCTCGATTATGGGAACACCATGCACATCTCGCTGTATTTATTAATTATGTTTTATCAAATAGTGATCCCTCCAGTCTGGTAAGTATTATAGAGGACACAAAATTATAATGTTTTAAGATGTTTATTATTATTCAAAATTATATAAAAATTATTCATATTATTGTAGTTGTTCTATTTAGTAACGGATCTGTACAAAGAAGGCAATACTAAAGAAATGAGAAAGTGGGCATATGAAATTCATTCTAGTTTTTTAGTACCTGGTGCAGTAAGTAATTTAAAACAAATATATCTTTTAACGCATAAACACAATGTTCAATTATCAAATTTTTTTGTAGCCTCTTCGTCTGCATAATGTAGAGGAAAACGTTGCACATGAAATAGATGATGTTCTTTTGAAAGAATCTGATAAGGAAGAGATTCTGCGAAAGGTATGAGTTTTATTGTTTATAAATATTTTAATTGTTATCGTGTGATCATATAAAACATCTTTTCTCTGCTAGATTTTTTGGAAAGCGCGTATACGCGCAAAAGAGGAATTGAACGCGCAGCTTACAGATTTTCAACAAAAAAGAACAGCTGGATTAGGTACGTTATTTGGTCCAAGCGATGCGCAGTTGGATGAAAGTGCATCTGACAGGGCACGAGAGACAAAAATTATAGAAACGTATCTTTTACCTAAGATGGATCCTTATTTGTAAGTTTACTTATTGAAATTTATGCAATATTAATTTCTATTATTTTGTGATAATTTACTTTACGCTATTATGGTTTTTTATATTTCAGAGAAGATATAGAGAAGGAGAATGTAGATTTGCGACAGTTCACTACAGCAGCTGGTTTAGCAACAATTTTGACAAAAATTTTTCAAGTGCGGCCAGTATCACTTGAACGAGTACCTACTTTCGTTGCGAAAGATAAAACGAATATTAAAGTGCGTTTGCTTACGGGAAAGTCAAGAAAAATGACAATCAGGGGCCATCATTTTGTAGCTCATCAATACTTCACTATTACTTACTGCAATCATTGTCAACATATCATTGGCGGAATTGGACCTCAAGGATATTTATGTAGTGGTATGTTTTAAATTATATTTTATTATTAATTATTTGTCTTTAATATTTTTGTTTATTTATTTTTTGCTTGAGATTAAAGATCAAATGAAATTACGTGTCCCATTATATCGCTACTTTACTATTTCACTATATTGCTAATTTACCATTCTGCTACACTGCTATTTTATTATCCTACTATTTTATTATTGAAGCGAAACTTCTGCCAACGTAATTCGTTGCAGAAGCTTTATTATTATTATAATTTTCAAACTTTCGAATTCAAAAATTTCTGTCCATAATAAATATAAAAGTTTTATTTGTAAGACGCTTACAGTTTTTACCATTTTACTATTACCATTTTACTATTACTACTACTATATTATACCACTTTCTAACTATACTTCTATCTTATTAGTCTACTAATATAATATTGTTATTATCTTTCTATGTTATAAATATTAGTTCGTAACGTAAACAAAAGACAACTTGTAAAAAGCCAAAATTAGGCTAATAAAAACTGTATTTTTCATTATAGATTGTTCTCTAAGTGTTCACCGTCAGTGTGTTCGTGTAGTAGAAGAAAGTTGTCCAGGACCATTGGTTAGAAAAGAAAGAGATCGTATAAGCAAATTGATGGAACGTATTAGACCTGAAAGAAAACCTCCATCATCACATCATCACCACCATTCTCAAAATCATATGCTTCATAGTAAGTATTTTAAATATTACACGACATAATAGGATATAGAACTTCTGTTTTACTATTCTTTTTCTGTACGTATATACGTATCCGTGGACGTAATGTATAGAATACGACCAATAAAAGTATACAATCGTTATTTAACAATTCATTTCAGTTAATAGTATACAAAATTTTGTGGTTACAGTTGATAAAATCAAAAAGAGCGAGGAGGACACTGGTGCACTGACTGATGGAGAAAATGGTAAGTACATTTTATTTATTAAATTACTATATAAAGTAGAACCAAGAATAATACAATTATTCCTCATATACAATACAATTTCTTTTACTTTTTACATTAAAAGAATGTAGCATCAGGGACAACTATTTTCAATATTTCAATAAATGCTTTTCTTCATTTTTTATGTTTTATTATAAACATTGTGTAATGAAACACAAACACTAAATTTTTAATTGTACTTATTTTTATTATATAATTTATTATTTCTGATTAAATGTCTGAAATACATTTTGTTAAAAATGCTTAAATCGATAATATTATTGTACAATAATTTGACATATAGAATTCAGTATTTCTAATTGTTTTGAATTTTATATATTAGCCATTAGTTTCAAAATATTATTGTTCATTAATGGATGTAAATAAGAATCATTTGTTTGTGCAAAATGTATTCTTTACCTTATAAATGATTGTGTTAAGGACGAAATTTATGTAGCTACGTTTTGTTTTACAATATTTATCATTGAACTGCTACTATCAATAAGTCTTGACATTTTATGTTTTTTTTAGGAACAATGACACATCTTTTTTGTGTTTATATTATTTTATGCACTATATCAAAATCATTCTTCGTTCAAAAATTTTATATTGATGTGTATCCTAATTCTTTAATTAATGCGAGCAATAAGTAGTAAATATAACTTCTTTTTTTACATACATATAACACGGTCAAGTCGTGTTAATCAGTTTATAACGAGATACCTCGTCAGATGCCGTTAATTTTAACACAATTCTCAGAACTAACTCTACGTTTTATTCATGTTACACCTGGAACAGTTCTAAAATTATTACATATTTACTTATGATAAGTAATTTTAATTTCAAAAGAACTAGGCCATCACAGATGTAGAGCAATTTTTAAATATCCAGTATGTTATTTTACACCGAGAAAAGTGTAATATTTCAACATTAAGCAGGCATTCAGAGGTTCAATTCATTATTAAAGATTACATTTTAATATTAAACAAATATCATTTCATACTTTATAATAAAACATAGTATTCATTACATCGTCTCACTAAACGTACAAATTCTATATTTTTTTACTGCGACAGTTTTCTTGCAATACTCCAATGTTTTGTTTCATGTTCCATTGTCGTAGAGGCTTATAATTGCATACGCTTGTTTGTAGATGTAAATACGTCTCGTTCATTTCTTTTCTTTTCCGTCCACGTTATCCACTATCTTGAAGTTTACTGACTTCATTTCGAACGAGGCGTTCTTTGACGAACGTAGGTCACGACAGCCATTGTTAACAAGTGTTTGTCTCGTTAAAATTATACGTATTCGTCAGAAATTGTGAACAGAATTTATTTCTCTCGTTGAAAAAATATTTCCACGCGTGAGTTAAAAAAGAATCTAAACACTGTATCAAGTTTTCTTCTTTATAGATTATTTAGGAAGTGAAATTGTATGGTGTTTTGTGATTTTCCTTATCAACATTCTCTTTTAAGTAAACGAGTGCAATTTTGATAAAGTTTATACAGATTTTTGGGAAATAGGTTCTATGGAAATAGTAGTAAAAAGAACTAGTTGTGTTGAAGACAATAATGGGTACTGACTCATATATTTGTTCACTGATTTGCAGATTCTAAGAAGGACAATTATATCAGTTTATAACGGGACTTCTCAAATTCTCATGAACTGAGATTCACTTTTGACAGTAAGAAAAAAAATTCAAAAATTCAAAAAATTCTAAAATTCCAAATTGATCAAATTTTAACGTTAAAAAATTCAAAAATTTTAAATAACCCATAAATTCGATGTCGTAGTCTCAAATTTAAAAACTCTAAAATCCTATATAAAAATACGTTGTAGTTCTGAAATGTAAAAATTATGAAATTTCAAAAGTCGAAAATTTAAAAAATTAAAAAATTCGAAAATTATAAAGATTTTTGATAGTCCTAAAGCCTCAGAACTACAAGATTACAAAATTAGAAATTTTTTAAATTCCGACGACTTGTAATCGCGCCATATTGAAATTAAAATTTTGGGGTTAAAAAATTCAGTAATTCAGAAATTTCAATTTTTTTTAAGTTTTAAATTTCTGAAATTTCAGAATCCTTAAATTCTAATTTAAAAAGTGATTATTCGTACATTTTCATATTCTGTTTTTTTTTTACGTACATTAATAAATGTTTGTGTTGAATATCATGTTCAGATAAAATATATTAAAAATATGATATAATTATGTTTCACAAATAAACGTTAATCTTGCATAAACAAATGTGTTGAAAGAAAGCAGTGTCAAGTTGAAATACATAAATGACGATTCATATATGAAACTGCGAGTGTAGGTGGATTTTATCGAAATCGTACTGTTACAATAATCGCACTATGCGATAAGGAAGTTTCAGAAAATGTGTACGCGCCAAGTGTAGGCTAAATTTTTCTCTACTGACTTTGTTGAAAAGGAGAGGAAGGAAGGAAGAGCGGAACAGAGGAAACCGCGAAAAGTGGGCTTGAAATCTCAATAACAGAGATTTGTGTTTATATACAGGGTGTACTCATTGTTTATTATCAAATATATTAAATTTAAAAAATTAAAAATTATTATTAGTTTACACGTAAGCTTGACAAGTTTCAGTAAAAGAATATTCGAGAGGAATAATCGGATTTAATATTTCTAAAATAACAAAAATTATGAAAAATATTGATTAACTGTATATATGACATTCTCGAAACAGTTTCTCTGAGACATATTAACTGTTGCAAGGTTATCGCTTATAGATGTTATGAATTCACAACTATTAATAACTAAAATAATCAATCAAATAATATTAATTCAATAACAAAAAAGAAAAGCACTAAAGGGAAAATCTTATAACATCATTAAAAATACTTTGACAATTTAATGCGACTTTTGCGAATTTATTCAACAAGAACTATAAATTCAACATACGCATCATATGCATGAAGTAATAATATAAATTTCTATAAACGCTTTTATTGAAAATTTGCAGAGTTATAGCAGTAGATTTTTTTAATGCCCACCTTTGTCATTAGAAATAAAAAAATTTTTTTTCATTCTTATAATCGTAGTATATAGTCAATAACTTAATCACTTCAAAAAAGAAAAACAAATATATATATATATTGGTATTAAACAAAAGTATTCGATCTTCCTAAACAACTTTCATTATTTTTTGCCACAAAAATTACATTTAACATAATGAATAGCCAAGAACAGCAAGCTTAGGCACATTTATAAAGATGATATTATGTTTCGGTTTTTTTAATGTTAGATGACGTGACGGATATTACAAATGTTCTTGATAAAAGAATTATTTTTCAAGAGCGTTTGAGTCATGAGTTATAATTATATAAATTTTTAACACAGCTGCTTATAAAAATACTGGTTGTTACTTCAAAATTACCTGTACATATAGTATAGAAAATGTCATGCAGAATAATTTTACACTACAGCAATAATTAATATATCTAATTTTATTAAGAATTTATAAGAATTACATTTTTAAATATATTTTTATTTTTTAATACAGTAAATTTCTAAATTCAAACGTTTAATTAATTTTGTACAATTTGTAAAATTAATAAGAAACACAGCATTGCACATTTTGTGATTCTGTTAAAAGTTTCGTACATGATTTATTAAGTTAATTAAAATTAACTTAAAATTAAAATGATTAATTATTAGTATATGTACAAATTTTCAGTCATTGTATGCCAATTTTTACAATGTGCAATGTTACATAATTATAAATGTGTAATTAATGTAATTGTTTTCATTTTTTTACTATGTTTATAAATCAGTTTTCATAATCTGTTAATATAAAATACAAACTTACTAAACACATTCGTTCTTATGAAATGCAAATTTAGTTGCAGGAGCACATCATTGTGTAATTTGTTCGACAGAATTCTTATTTAATTGAACGTAAAAGATTTCTTGGCATTTCCGATCAACAAATTTATGCGATTTAATAAATATAATATGTTAATAAGTGTCTAAATTTGGACTATATTCAAACATACGATTGTTTATTAACTCTTAAATAATTATAAAACAGAAGCTTTATTTAACTTAACTAATTATCACAAAAGAACGATTACATATTGAATTTCGAAAAAATTAAAAAACGGTTAATTTATATATTTATACACAACGAACATAATAAATGTCAAGTTCAGTTTATCTAAATTGAATTGTACAGTCCATCGTATGGTTTACAGATTTTGTTCAATAAGTTTGCAAAAATCGTGTTTTAAAATGGCTGTTTAAACGGGAACACTTATTGTTAGTTAATATAGCATTTTGTAGCATTATGATGTTTTTATTAGTAGTTGATCATGTATTGGCAGTCATCACTTCATTTAGTTGCAAAAATGAAAATTTCTCTTGATAAAAATGTGTTATATATCACACTTTTTAGAAGATTATGCGTTTTACTTTGAAAATTTATAGTTGTTCATGTAATATAAGGCAACCTCATATTTTTATTTTCAAATGTTTTGCTTCATCTCCTGATAATTATTGGTTTATGAATTTGTCGGCTACACATTTCTAAGAAGTTTATGCTAAATTTGTGCAGTCTTAAAATTTAAATATCTTTTTAACTCTTTACTGTATTGAGCGATAATCTGTAACATAATACGCTATAAAGTTCTTGTATTTTGTGAAACATAAATCCATAATAGATTTCATAATTAGTGAAATAATTAAAAACATCTTTTATTTTTTCAAGTTCAGTTTCTTATGTATCTTGTCATGATGCAAAATTGAAATGTATGATTTTGTTTTTAATATATTTTACGCAGGAAATATTTACTTATAATTCTTATACTTTGTTATCCATAAATACATTGCAGATTTCATAATCACTGAAATTATTGAAAACATTTCTTATCTTTAGTGATTACATTTTTTTGTGCTTCTACAAGATATTTTTGTAACTTTCTTCATCGAAAATATTTTTTTATTGTAATTTTCTTATTATTAT